GTCTTCTGCAGCCAAAACAAACCTGCCCGAGCTTTGATCACTGACGGCTCGTCTGCTGCTTCTGGACTCATTTTTCTTCTGGCATACCTGAAACATGGAAGAATAGAAGTAGTTTTAATGATGAAAACTTTCTGTTTCTTTTAATAATTATTGGCAGGAAAATATGCCAGCATGATGCACACAGTCACTTGCAAGCTGATTATTGTTATATATTTATTCACGTTTTTTTTGTGTTTTAAAATGAACATATAATGCATTTAACAAATTCATATTCATTGACATTAAGAACATACTTGTAGAATATTTAATATCAGTTGTTTTTAAGAGTTTTCTGATCGTTCATAACAAGTGCAATATGACTGACGAAGCTTTATGAAGTTATTTTAATGTTTTGCTTACCTTATTTGAGTAATTGACCACAATAACATCATTAACAGGGATAGTCAGATTTTTGCAAACAGAAATAAAGAACAATAAAAGTAAAAACAAAGTAGATGTCAGAACTATTTGTTACAATGTGACTTACTGCAGCTCCTCTTTGACTCCTTCGGCTGTGTTTGCAGCCACGATGAAAACATCCTTCATCTCTTCTCTGAGCATGTTGCAGGAATAACCGATATTTTCTGCCGTCTCTGTTTTAAAGCAATCAGAAGGACCAAAACTGAGGTGTGAGCTGTTCACACTGAGTCTCATATTGCTGTACAATACGTGATGAAATGCTTGGTGTGAATGAGAATAAACAGTAACAGTCACCTTGTTTGTCTCCAGTTAACACCCAGATTTTGATGTCAGCTTTAGCCAGCTGTTCAATGGTCTGTGGCACACCGTCCTGCAACTTGTCCTCCACAGCTGTTGCTCCCAGCAGCTAAAAAACAAAAATATGTGGATTTAAAGTAATACTGATGTTTTTAATTAAACAAATGCAAGACCAATAAGTCTTTGCTTTAAAAAAACAAACAAACTCACAATCATGTCTTTCTCGATCTCTTCATAAAGTTCATCGAGTCTCTCCTCTCGTCCCTCCATGGCTGTGCTGGCCTCATGGTGGCGCTGTCTCCACCCCTCCATGTAGCTCTCCTCCAAGTCCTTGTAGGCCAAAACAAGAGTGCGGAGGCCATCCCCTGCATACTCCTGTTTGGKTTGGATCGTTCAAAGCAGGTTAAACACACACAAAAAACTGTTGATTCAGCATCAAAAACAGTCCTTTCTTACGTTAAGGTGTCCTGTCGTAACTTCCATCAGCTTTTTACAGGAGGGGTGTAACCGTTCATAGATGATGGTGTCTGCTCCTTTACAGTACAGAGTCAGTTTACCTTCAGGACTTCGTACTGAAATTTAATAGTGAAAGATACGTCATTTAATCTGCTCATCTTCTGATTTCAGAGAAAAAAAGCTGTTCAGAACAAAACATCTTATGGTTAAGAGAGATAAGAGTATCTAAAAATGATGTATTGTTACMTTTATTACAGTTTAAATACAATAGTTATTTCTAAATAACAAAAAAAATATGAACACATATTCTCACCAATTACTGACATCCTTTTGCGCACATTGTTAAAATCCAGAACAGCCAGAAGTTCGTATGTGACCTTTCTGCCCATCTCCATGGYTGTGATGGTCTCTGGTGTGCGCGAGCGGAACACAAATCCAAAGTTTCTCGCCGCGGTCACCAGAGCGCCCTCATCAGGAGACTGAGCCTGGTAGTTCAGCTCCCCTACCAGGTGGAGACAGGACGACAAACTGGGTTAATTGAAAGGTGGAACAAATGGGGGGAAAAAAGCGTAAAAGTCACAAACTCTCAATTTAGTGCTCTTATTTCAAGAATGAGAAAATGAGCTGCTGTGTTTCTCCTGCTTATAGTAACCCTCACCCTCTTTCTTCTCCTCAGGCATGACGGTGTGACACAGAGCCAGCAGGCGGAAGAAGGCCTGAGCCTCCGGGTTTCCCTCTTTTAAGGTCTCTAACAGACTGTAATCGTGAAAGATGAAATTTGGATCTGCCAGYTGGTTCCAGGAGAAGTCCACTTTTTGTGTTTTCTGCAAAAAAAAAATATCGAAAGTTAATGAATTTATTAGGTAGATACTAATTTAAAGCACCACACCATTTGTCTTAGTTTCCTTTTGAAGGCTTGATTTTTATAATCTATTGTTCAACTAATGTAATGTMCTGATTAAAATACTTTTAGGTACATGCCCAAAAACATCATGACAACACATAGAAATACCGTTATAAATTCATCAGGAAAGATATGTTCTGTACGAGTTGCCTGCRATTCAGCCATAGGCCAGTAGTGGGCGTACCAGGCACTGAAGAGAAGTGTAAATAAGCCGGTACTTCCGGTTTGCTTGGAAGCGTTGCTTGTTTGCTGCCGTGAGCAATAAAGCTCTGCTCAGAATCTCTTCACATTTTAATCTATTCAACGTTTATGTGGTTTCATCTCGATTTTCAGTTAACGAACACTAAATATTCTTACAAAAGCGTGTACATGTATGTCGAACATTTGGACACATTTTATTACTACGTTTTTGTCTCCGTTGACCTCTCACCTCTGTTATTTCAACTCTTTGTCCAGAAAAGTCAAACAGCTCCCCTGGAAAAAGGAGAAATGTAATTCAATCAATGAATCTTTCTAAACTTTTTCCATAAATATACATGTTCTTACCATAATTTTTGCCATTAATGGAGCATTTATTAAAAGTCATGATGTTCTGCGTCAGGGTGCCGGTCTTATCACTGAAGATATATTTAATTTGGCCCAGCTCCTCGTTGAGTGTGGTGGTCCTCGCCTGAGCAGGAGTGTCATTTTTGGGGTAATACATCTTCCTGTCCCAGTTTATGTAGWAGCTGTTCCCAAGGCGGATAATCTCCACACTGACGGTCACAAATGGGGCACCAGAATACAACACATGAAACGTTACCAGTGATAACAGCAATAATTCYTGGCAGTCTTTGACTCCATTACGTTGCCATGCAGAAACGTACCTAACATAAAGGGAAATGGGGACCACCGTGTTGAGGACAATGACGTAGGACCAGAAGGACAGGAAAGATGACAGGGCAGCGTTAACGCCCGCTTCACGAGGGAGAAACRCGGTGAACACAGAGCCCTCCCTCACCTCCCAGATTGCGTTGCCGATGGCCAGAATGAAGCACATAGTCACCAGGAAGGCAAAAATCTGACGAAAAACAAAAGATGCAATGCATTGAACTGTAAAATAAAATCTTATTCTGATTGATTTTATACATTTGAACCATGATTAAAAAGACCGTGATGACTTTCTGAATATGTTTTCATCYATAAACACAATTCTTGTTTAAGTGTTTTTACCCTCAGAGCGTTGAGGACTTATTTATAAGTGATGCATACTAAACGGAAAGAACTCTGGGTGTTCTGAATTGTAATTTCACTGTAATTTCATTGTGCTCTGTACAATGACAATAAAGGTCTAATCTAATCTATCTATCATGTAATGTAAAACAGCTGCATGTTGTGTATTTGTGTAAGTATCAACTCACACACAACACCAGGACATTCATCAGGTGATCAATGCCGGTCCGTTTAAATGTTGTTTTTCCACTGTTCTGCATGAGCTTTGTGTCAGGACCTGAAAAGATTCAGTCTCATATTTAATTATGCACACCTCACACACACACACACACACACACACACACACACACACACACACACACACACACACATATATATAT